TTGGATCATCAAGCATAAAGTGGCATCGTGATCGAGAATGAGAAGGAGAAAGAGTGAGACAGAGGGAGGGGAAGAGAGAGAGAGAGAGAGAGAGGGAGAGGGAGAGAGACAGAGAGAGAGGGAGAAAAGGTTTTAAAGTAGGAAGATAAAAAGGTCGAGCATGTTTATCAAATCGCACGACACTCGCAATCTCGGTTAGCACCCGCTCGTCATTTCGTAAACCGAAAATGGACGATGATAAATATCACTGAGTTCAGTTTCTGCCCCTGTCTGTCTGTCTGGCTTTCTCTCTCTCTCTCTATATATATATATATATATATATAAATATAAATATATATATATATATATATATATATATATATATTTATCTATCTTTCCTTCTGTATGTCTCTTCTACCTACGCTACGATATTTAAGCTACCATTCGTTTAATAAACGACGAATAGATCATGTTTTAATCTTTTACACACGCAATGATTCATTCACTTTATTTACTCGCGTAGTGTTTACTACGTTTCTTTTTACAACCCCTTTAAAAAAAAATAAATCCCGTAAAACGATCGAAGCGCATTTGCTCGACGATACTCGACGTTTCTTTCTTTTTTTTTTTTTTTTTTTTTTTTTTTTTCCCTCTTTCTTTTTTTTCTTTCTTCCTTCTTTTCCTTTTCTCATTTCTCATTTCTCATTTCTTTTTCTCTTAAATTAGTGCGTATCTTTCATCGGCGAAAACGGAAATCACGATGCTCCAACGTGGGAAACGAGAATCGTGGAACGTTATCGGTATAAAAGATCGTACATATATGCATATAAAAACAACGTGTGTTAACTCTAATCACGAACGTAATGCCCGAGGTCCGCGAATAGTATAAGATAAACCGAGAATCAAGGAACACCAAATGAATGATACGTATCTCGCGTAAAGCAATGTATCGTATGTTTGTTCGGAACAAACGTCATTAATAATCCCTAGTTTTCATGGGAAACCGCTTGGAAGAATGAACATATTACGCATAGTTATATAGAGAAAGAAAGAAAGAAAGAAAGAAAGAAAGAAAGAAAGAAAGGGAGAGAGAGAGAGAAAGAGAGAGAGAGAGAGAGAGAGAAAGAACGGTCTAAAGTCTAGACGTCGTGCTTATATACATAAATACACACATACACACGTGTACATTCGATAAGGACAAAATTTTTGTAGAAAATATTTTTTCTACTAAATTAAAAAGACATTTCAGATATTTATGATATTTTCATTAATGTAATTATGCATTTTAAATTATCTTTTTAATAATTCAACGTACGTTGTGTTTATTCAAAAAGTTTCCTTTAAATGTAATATTATTTCTTTCATTTATTTCACGCAGGATATGTATGTAGATAAAATATATTTTGACTCGTTCGCCTCCTCTTATTGGCCCTTCTGATAAGAAATATATATATAAATACATGTATTTTATTGAATTCAACGATATTGAAGGAAAAATAATCGAAGATTAAAGAGTTTAGAAAGAGAGAGAGAGAGCGAGAGAGACAGAGAAAGAGAGAGAGAGAGAGAGATAAATACCATCTACGTATCAGGCTGACATTCTTTCACTCTCCCTCTCTCTCTCTTTCTCTCTCTCTCTCTGTCTCTCTCTCTCTCTCTCTCTCTCTCTCTCTCTCTCTCTATTTCTCCCTGTTTCTCTCATAATGTTGCAAAATCGTCGATGGACGAAAGCCACATAGAATTTTAATCGTTTCCACGCTAATATCTCATTTATTATTATTAGTGCATTTGTATTTAGCGGATTTGAATAGGCCCGAACTATATGAGCGGCTCATTGAGGGCCTCGAGAGGAACAAAATTGGGTCAGTGGGTCAAGCGCAGAGAGAAGAAGATTGATATTGAACTGCGTCGTCTACCACTACCGTTTTACCCTCCCTCTCTTCCTCTTCCTCTTCCTCTTCCTCTTCCTCTTCCTCTTTCTCCTCCTTCCGCTATTCCTCTATCTCTTGGTATCCCGAGTACACCTGTAAAAAGAAAGAAAAAAAAAAAAAAAAAAAAAAAAAAAAAAGAAAAAGAAAAATTTCAGAGATTTTGTGCGGCAAATATTAATCCTCTTTCGTAGGATTTTTAGATCTAATATCGATCGATTATGGTCTGACTTTTTTTTTTCGATATCTGGGGATTTTTTCCTTCCTCACCGCCCCTCCTTTTTTTTTTATCCATCTAGATATATTTTAAACAGTTTAAATCATTAAAAAAGAAAAAAAAAAAAAGAAAAAAAAAATAGAAAAATAAAAAAAGAAAAGGAAAACGAATGAAATCATAAATATCGCGCGAAAGAATATACGACGAAATTTATCTCGTAGATTTATGCTCACGATGAAATAATGTAATTATTTAAAATAATATTAAAATATTCTCACGTCGGATTATTTCCTTAGGAATGCTTAGGGATAAATTCGATCGGGTGACGATCCAACGCGAGTTCGCAACGACCGCATTCGATTTCCGGTCGAGTGAGTAGCCCAGCCAGTGATCGCATATAGAAAAACCGTTCTTCCATGGTGTATATCGTCCATAGTTAAAGATCGCGTGTGACTCGTAAATGAAAAAAACAAAAAAAAAAAAAACAAAAAAAAAAAACAAAAAAGAAAGAAAGAAAAAAAGACCCTTTCTATTCTCGACAAGTAAATCGTAAAAGTATTTTACAGCTTAGGGAACCTCATTCCTGTTTCTATATAGGAATGCGGTTCGAGATAGGCGCGAAATTCAAAGGCGGAAAAATTTTCAAGCCGTTCTATGTGCTTAGATCGAACGCAACGGAACGAGTTCGTGATCGTGGTTGTGATGGTGGTTACGTTATCGTACGGGCGCACACTTTCTACGGCGTAAGATTATACATACGGATGTTAAAGAGAACGAAATCCGACAGAAAGTGGGTGGATGGGTGAATTGGAGGAGCTTATGGCTTGATTAGAAAAGAGGAAGGAATATTCGATCTAATTTGATTTTATTTAATTTTATATCCTTTGCTCCTTTCTCTTTTTTTTCGTTTTCTTTTTATATTCGTGAAAGTTCATATTGTTTTCGTTAGGACAATATGTAAAGGAAAACAAAAAAATAAGAGAATAATAATAATAATAATAATAATAATAATAATAATAATAATAATAATAATAATAATAATAATAATTAGAGATGACACTTAGTGAAGATATAAGTAGAGAAAAAAAAGCAAAGTTCGAAGGAGATGGTGATAAAGGTTAAGGAGAACGGGTGGAGAGGGATGGAGGGAAGAGAGGGATGGACGTACAAAAAAACAACAATAATAAAAAAGAAAAAGGAAGAAGAGAAAAAAAATGTCAAGGTTTCGTTAGAGAGAAGTTAGACCGTAAAGATGGCGGTGCTGCATGTTGCAATGCACTCGCTCGAGTGAACCACACTCACGAGTTGCGTGCGTGGGTATCGATACTTTCACCCGTGAATCCCCAACACGATTTTGCGTGTGCGTGTGCATGTGCACGTGCACGTGCGTGCATCACGGACAGGTGGGTCATGTTTCTCGCCTCCACATGGATACTTATACGTATCGTCGTACGGATAATTTGCAACATTCGATGGCAAAAGTCATTCGCTACCAGGACGAATAGAAATGTCGTAATTATTTACGTGGGCCTATTAACAACAGTAAAAAGCAATGAGAATAAGAATTTCGTATATGCATACATATATAAATTCATATATAAATACATGAATAGATAAGCGTGTTTCTTCGTTGTCTTTTAATCGTCTTATTTTTTTTTTTTTTTTTTTTTTTTTTTCTTCGCATTCCTTATCGAAGATATACTTGCTTAGTAATTATTCAATCTAATCAACACTGTAGTAGATCTTACGAAATGATCAATTTTATGGAATCGAAGGTTTTATTTCCGCAGTATAATCGTGGCAAGTGCTTTGTGATCATTTAATAATATATTCATTTTAGATAATGCATAAGTCGTATACGCGACAACTAGATATATATATTTCATTTCTATTTACATACGTATAAAACTATGTTATTGCGATTTTCTTATTATCGATTCATTAAGGTTGATTGCGGTTAAATTTATTCTTACATGCTTGAGACACGTTCAATATTTTTCATTATACGTATATATGTGTATATCTATGTATGTATATATGTATCTATGTATATATTTGAACAGTTTTATTCACGTTATACGCATATAAAATATTTTTCACTTCTTTTCTTTTAAATTGGAAAGATTGTACGAGTAAAAGAAATCTCGTTCTTCCTTTCCTATATTTCCACGAAAGGAACATCGCCCTGTGATGAAGTTTTACCGTTGAACGTTCTCGTTTCCGTGAACGTAGCGCGAATTATGGTACAGCCTTTGAATCTTGAATCGTGGCAATAACATCGATAACTGTACAGAGCCGATCGTAATGATCTAACTGAAAATCGGCTGCAGAATCGTTCTTTTATTCCTTTCCTTGCTCGCGAGGTAAACGTGAGCTTTCCGTGACGAAAATTAGTTAACACGATTTGGAGGAGTTTGATGAAAAAGAAAAAAAAAAAAATAAAGAAAGAAAAGAAAAAAGAAAAAGAAAACGGAAGGAGATTTCTATGATGACGCCATTATGACGGTGCAAGATAAATTGCACAATTTTTCTCTGCAATTTTACTTTTGATAAAGATAACATATCTATAATTACAAATTTCTTTATTATTGCAGATTTTTTTTTCTCCCTCTTTTTTCTTTTTTTTTTTTTCTGAATTTAACGAAAAAGGATCATTCGATTCGTAAAGTTTCATTTCTTTTCTTTGCCTAATCTAATTATCTCGAGTTTATTTCGCAAGTATTAAGTTTGATTTTAAAGATATTCGAGATAAGAAGCAACGACATATTGCCTTAGCGATTGCCTTTTATCATATTTTTCGATCGAGAACGAAATAATGAAATATGTATATAAAAAATTGTTCCATTGTAATAATATTGTTCATTGTTTTTTTACAGCACCTTACGAGGGTGGAATATGGAAGGTGAGGGTTCACTTGCCCGAACATTATCCCTTTAAATCTCCTTCGATCGGGTTTATGAACAAGGTCTACCACCCTAACATTGACGAAGTTTCAGGCACCGTATGCCTGGACGTTATAAACCAGGCTTGGACTGCCCTCTATGGTATGCACTCGTTCTTACAATAATTATTATAATCTATCCATAATTTCTATTCGTTTTAATATTAAAAAAAAAAAGAAAAACAAAAAAATGAGATTATAATAATTCGCATTCGATTGTTTCAGACCTGTCAAATATTTTCGAATCCTTTCTGCCTCAGCTATTAACATATCCCAATCCCATCGATCCACTAAATGGTGATGCAGCTGCTATGTATCTTCACAAACCAGAGGAATACAAGAAGAAGGTAGCAGGTATGTTTTATTTATTTATTTATATATATTTTTTTTCATTCTTTAATTAAGAACAAACAAATAAAAAAGAAACAGAGTGAGAAGGAGAGAGAGAGAGAGAGAGACAGAGAGAGAGAAAATCGAAAAAAGGAATAATAATAAATGAAATTTATTGATATCAATTTAATACTCTTTCGATATTTCGACAGATTACGTGAGGAAATATGCAACGGAGGAGGCATTGAGGGACCAGGAGAATGGCGGGACTGGGAACGGGATGTCGTCCGATAGCGAGTCATCGATGAGCGATTTCAGCGAAGACGAGGCGCAGGACATGGAGTTGTAACCAAATATTCTATCATCCATACCCATATCCTTAATATCAATTCCCTGTAAAACTCCGATATCGTTTGCCCTATTACCAAATAGAATGCTTATATTCCAAAAAGCTCCGAAAGAGAGCTTCACTTTCGGTTTTGGCCGCACGACGTGTTCTCGTCGCACGTTATCTCAGGTCGCGATGGCCGACGACTCACGTTCTCCCTCCGACCATCGTTTTCTCATAGTCATGTCTGATA